CCCCGCGCGCTGCCGCTCACACACGGCAGCTTCGACGTCGTACGACTCCTCGCCTGGGACCACAACAATCAGCACATGTCAGATTCTTCTTTATTTCTAAAATATCATAATCATCATTAACTTGCCCTTATCCCTTACGGAGGGTTAGCACAGTATGTGCTGCTCCATACATCTCTAAATATATGTATAAATATATATAAATGTAGCCTATGTTACTCATTAATAACCTAGCTTTTGTTGGTGAACGAATTTTTGAAATCGTCCAATTAGTTTTTTTAATTATTTCAATACATATAAAAATACAAAAATATAAGGGCCTGCCCCCTAAATTGTAAATTGTCTGATAACAATCCAACGTGTAAAATATGTCATGTAAATATGAGATTTTATTTTCTTATCTGACAGTGACGTCATTTTTATGCTATCTGAGCCTCTATCTGCTAGTAGTGGGATAGGCCCTATTTTTTTTTATAACATAAGATGGCAAGCGAGCAAGCGGCCACCTGAATCCGCCAAAATGGTGAAGCGACCGCTGCCCATAGACATCTGCAATTGCAGATGCGTCTAAATCTTTACTTTATATTAGTATAACGGTATGTCATTTGACTTGTGTGAGGTCTTAGTGAGCAATGAGAGAGTTCCCTCTTGTTGTAGCTACTACCTAGGCATACCGGAGGGCAAGGCAGGCCAGCAGCACTTGTACCGCGTGTCTGCGGAGGCGCCGCGCCCCGGCACGCCGCAGAAACTGCCCTACTGCGTCACTTGCAACTCACAAGTATGAATACTAGATTTATTCCGTCACTTCTTAACAATTCTTAACAAAAATACTTATTTCTGCTTATGTGTTCTTCCAGATTATGTTCTATTTCATATTTCGTTAAAATCCGTTCAGCTAAAGCTCTAAACTCTAATATCCATTTAACTTTGGTTTTACTAGCTTTTGTCTACAGCTCTGTTTGCGTAATTAAAAATTAAAAGTGATTAATCTATGTGCTCTTCCAGACTATCCTCTACATCTTAGCCAAATTAAATCAAGATCCGTTCAGCAGTTTAGGCTACAAACTAACAAACATCCATCTAAACTTTCGCATTTATAATATTAGTATAAGTTAGTCAGTTTTAAGAAAACACGCTTCACTGCTTATTCTAGTTAAGTCTAAACTATTTTCGGGTTTCAACTCATTAAATCCCAGTTAAATTTTACTTCTTTGAAATTAAAATCGGTTTATTTGATTAAGTATTTGCTCTCAGCCGTCTCCATCAATCAATTTGGAGTATTACGGCAACTTAGCGTCTTCAGGCGAGAGTCCGTGGGACGCGGACTGGGATGAGCTGCCCGCCACCTCGCCAACTACCCACAAGAAGAAGAAGAAGAAGCATTCAGGTACCAAAAAATGCAATCTGTAATTTTCTCAGTTGCTAGTTTTACGTCTCAGTTATCTTTTATGTTTGCTTTTAATTTCCTAGGGGAATCAACTTCAGTCCCATCTTCGTGTACCTGTCCTAATGATGCAGAATACTATGATTCTATAGATAAGTTTATTTTATTTTTTACTTTATTTTATTTTTACTATGGACTAGCTTTCACCCGCGACTCCGTTCTAAAGTAAAAGCCCCTATGTGTTCTTCCAGACTATCCTCTACATTTATGCCAAATTTAATCGAGATTTTTTCAATCGTTTAGGCGGCTAACTCTAACCGTTCATTCATCCAAACTTTAGTATATATTAGTTGTTGCTCGCGACTTTACTCACGGATAAATTACTTTTCTAATATTTACTTAGTGCGTTGGCGCAGCGACCCAAAGTGGGTCTTGGCCTCCGACAAGAGAGAGCGCCAGCGGCACACTTTTCTAATAGTGAAAGTTAAAATCTACAAAATAGTTTTTTAATATCATTACGAGTACATACAAAAATCCGATTCTTTCCTCTTTATCATATTAGTAAAAATCAGCAGAAAGTTCTAGAATTCCACACC